GATAGATAGATAGATAGATAGATAGATAGATAGATAGATAGATAGATGATAGATAGAGATAGAGATAGAGATATAGATATAGATATATATACACACACACATGCACACATTGTTTAAGCAAACCTTAAACCATGACTTGCCTATAGTTTATTGAATAAAGACAACTGCAAAAATAAGACACTGTTTGCAAAACACGATACCTGAGTTCATAAAACACAATGGGTACAAATTATGCTCTGATTAAATTGCAACACCTGAGCCCCTTTGGCTGTGAATATTTTGGTTTAATCTTAAACTACAACCTCAATCAAGGTCAAGATGAAGTTCCTGCATTTCAAGATAAGCAATGCTTGCCAGTCTGCCCTCAGGAGCCTCTTTTCTAGACTAGGAGTCCCTGCCCCTCACTTGACTTGTTGCAAAACAAAGCAACCAGCCTGTAGCATTGAATGTCATTCTGGGCCCCATTAAGTTCTCAGAACATCAAAGGAAATATCTAGTGGAGCTACTATAGTAGTCATGTTGTGAATGCACTCATCAAATGTATCCTAAACCAAAAAAGTTGCTTAATTCTACTGTAATCAAACAGGAATATTTATTTCCACACTACCTTTCTGCGTAAACCCTCAAGGTGGTTGGTTGAAACTACTAAGAATATAAATGCAACTGAAAACAAAAAATTAAAAATGGCTTTCATCGTGGCCCTGCTCATCTTCTAAAAAGCCTCTATATCAGGGGTGTCAAACTCACGTTGTCACGGCGATGTCACGTGACGTATCAGGACTCCCCCCCTTCGTTAAACCCGGTGTGGGCGTGGCCTGTGTGTGACGCACCTGGCCCATGGGCCCGGAGTTTGACAGCCCTGCTCTATATGGTACTCCAACATTATTCAAATTCAGCTCACATTAAGGAAGCAAAACATTTCATCCCCAGAGAGTTTATACATATTAAACGCTATTAGAAGATTGCAATCTCAAGTTTGGTACACAATCTGTGTATTCAGGGATTAAAAAGCCTCTGAGATTTCAAGTTACAAATCAAAGACTGGTCATCCAATCACTCAACCCAAAAGTTCCTGTACACAAAAAGTTATGCTAGGACTCCTGTTCCCACTTCCTAGGAAGCATCCTGCGGCCCTAAGGAGCAGTCACTCTTGTCATTTGTTTTCCCTAAGCATGCTGAGCAGTAGGATTCTGCAGCTTCAAGAATTTAAAAATGCCAGGCTCCTTTATAGCAGAGAGATGTCGCGCTTGCATGAGGTTTAAAGTACTTGTATTGAATCATAACAAGTGCACATACCCCCAATTAATTTCAATAGAGGAGAAACATCAAAGATTACTCGTACTACTATATATGAGATAGGATTACCAAGTAGATATGAGCTTACAACTCACATTTTTCTATCTGAGATACAAACAGCATCTCTCTTTCCCTTCCACAAATCTACATAAAAGCAAAATACTACTCACACATCATCACAAAACCTCCAGAACCGTAGAGCCTACAAACCCGAAACTTGGCACGTATGTTCCTCTTGGCTTCTAGGTGCTCACTAAGAAAGGATTTTTCAAAATGACCATCAGAGCATTAGTATTTTGTATATTATTATTAACACTCCGATGCTAAGGAATTCTACTCCCCCCTCCCCACCTGAAATGAAATGTGTTCCAAATGCAAAACATAAGCAGAGAAGTTTTAGTTTCACAGCAGCAACCAGATTTAGGACAGAACAGTTGAGCTAAGCCATGCCCAGGCTCCTTGCTGTCTCCTTCTTGCTCACATAGCAAATACTGTTTCAGTTTCCAGACAGCCCTCAAGTCTCTCGCACACTGACAGGATGCTAGCCAGATGAATATCAAATGGATGGTGGTTGGCAGAGGCAGAATTTTTTCTCTCCTTATTTTCCTCCCCAAAAACTAAGCCTGATCACATAGTTTCGTAGTGAAGCACGGGCATTCAGCTAGTTTTCCATGAAACCAAAAGTCAGGAGCGCAGCTTTAGGGATTCAGAAGTCTTGGGGTTCGCAACTTTCTCTAGAAAGTGCCTCCTATGGCAGCTGCCTTCCTTAACCTAATGGTCATGTCAACCTGGAAAATTGTTCATACTTTCATGAGGGAGCTGAGAAAATTCAAACCCCAGCTCACTCTTAAAGAGTGCTACAGTTCTCAAGGCTGGTTCAGAAGGCAATCATATCAGCAACTAGTTTCGGCCGGCACTGTACAAACAACTTATTATGGAAACAACTTTATTTATCTTGCCTGCGTTCTTACTGATTGAACACTGCATTTAACCATCCCCAGAAATGCCTCCGCAGACCACCAGGCGGCTCCCTCTTCAACCATTTCGTTTGGCGTATCAGCACTTCCGTCAACATCGTGTAACTTCTGAAAAGAGATGGTAGTAATGACAGCTCAGTGGATTTCCAGAAATCAGTCACATTACTCCCATCAGTAACTTCTGACCCAGGATGACGAGCTACACATAGGTTGGATTTGCACACACACAAAAAAGAGCATTGTGGTTCAGTTAACCTAGCCACGATCTGGGCCCGATCTCTATTACAACATTGCGGGGAATTAGCAGTTCTCTCCGTACTTGCAAACAAGGAAAGGGGCAACGGCTGATGGGGGGGAAAAGGCTCAGACGTTTGGGGCTCCTGGACTGTAGAAGGCAAAAGTCCCTTCCTCATTTCTCCTTCACCCCACCATTTAGACCTTCAGCCCCGCACGGCAATTGAACCACCATGGGAGGGTCTTCCCCAGCCCAGAATCCCGGCTGATGGCCCTGGAATTAGGACCGCCTTGGCAAAGTGAGGAGGGCTCTTGCAAAGAGGATGGAGGGAGGTTGCAAGAGCATCCAACAACGGGATAAGATTGCAAGCCGGCAAAAAGGCCGCCCCGACCTTCCCTCCCCGCATGGGAAGCCATGGGAAGTGGGGAAACGCACCCCGGGCGGGACGTTGCGGTGCTTCTGGCGTCCGCCTCTGCGGGATTCCTTCAGTCGTAGCTGGCCCGCCCTGCGCGGCCTCCGATCTGCTTCTAACTCCCCCCACACACGCACATACACACCCGCAGGGGCCGATCTGTAGTGGGCGGAGGAGGAGGAGGAGGAGGAGTCGGGCAGACTGGCTCGTTCGCCCTCCCGCCAGAGCTCGCAATGATCCCGGCGTGGATTCGGGCCGTTGGCGGGGCCTGGCGCCCTTGTCGGGCCGGGGGTCGGGCGATGCCCTCGCGGCCTCTCAGCGCCGACAACGGCCGACGGAGGAGGTGAGGCGTCTGTCGAGAGCTCCGCGGAGGCGCAGCTCGGGGCGTCGGTCCTGGCCCGCGAGG